TCTGCTGGGCGGGCGGTGGGGCTGCAGGTGTGCGAGGCGAGCTCCGAGGTGCCCTGCAGACAATAGGGCAGGAAACTTTACAGCCCGTGGGGATTTACCGCCTCAGCTCCTGGCGTGTTTTCCCGCCGTCCGAAATAACCCCCGTTATTGCACGGCCGCCAGGTGGGCAGGGAGGGCGAGGGCAGGTCTCCGCCTTAGCGATGCTTGCACCGAGTGTCAGCCGTGCCGTAGGAGAAACGGGCAGGAAAACAATAGAGTGAGGGCTGTGGCTATCGCGGCGGGGCCCTTCAGCAAAGGGGTGTGTGAAGCGAGACGGGGCAAGGTGTTTTTAAGGGTTTTATAAAAAAGGTGTGTCGCTGTTTGACGTTATATGAGGGGTGAGACGGGTACAAATGCATTCTGGAAGGGTTTTAAAATAAGGGATCAGTGCTTTTCTCTGTAACGAATACTAGCTTTAAATGGACCCAGAAAACCAGTGTGGAAGAAGCATAGGCAGTTCTAGATGGGCTAGACAAATGAACATCACTGGAGAAATTGAGAGGGCAGAAAAATATAAGCAAAGGACCATATTTAATAGGAAATATGGATATAGTAGGAGAGTCACGATGGAAATACATTGTGGTACTGAGAATGGAGCTGAATTTGAGTGTAAAACGAAGATGGTTACCTCTTGTGGACTTTTGAGAAATGACAGTTGTGTGCTTACTGCATAAAATGTACCATTTTTGTCATATTTCACAGCCTTTGTTCACATTGAATCAGGATTGAGGGGTACCAGCAGTTAGAAAATAAGATCCAGAATATTTTCTTTTCACAAGGCTCCTGCTGTTGTAAATTAATTGACCAATTTGCTGTTGTCAAATGAAACACACAACTATTTTCTTTTCCTACTATACATTTATATTCCTTTGGAATAGTATTTTTCACTGTTCTCCATATTTTGTGTTGACTGTCCTTGTTTGTCCTACAGATTTTTCCAAAAAAAAAAAAATAAAGGAGGAAAGGAAAGAAGGGAGAAGAATAATGAAAGGTTTTTTTCTTTAGAAAAAAGTTAAAAGGTCTATCTTTGCGATTGGAAACTAAAGATATCTTCTTCTTAAGCAATAATAAAGTGTCAGATATTTATTTAACTTTTTTTTCATCACTTGTAAGTACCATGGGGAATGATTACTGCACTTTGCTAATTATGATTTTTTTTTTCCCAGTCATCATTTGAGTGTGCCCAAATAATTTGTTCACAAAAGAGAGTGATCTTGAATGCCTAATGGCGAGCTCTAACTTTCAGAAGTTGAGCAATTGGTCACAGAAATGTTGAATAACAAAGGTTCTCCACTTCTATTTTCCCCAAGGGCATCTTAACATGAGATACAAAAGACAGTTCTTACCAAGTTTCAAGTATCATGCCTTACACTGAATAAAAAATGTCTACATTAAGGGTTTGATTCTTTTGGTTAAAATAGGCAGCTCTTGGAAGGGAGGCTATATCCAATGAAATACTTTTGCTGTTGGAATCCAAAAGATTCAAAGATTAATATTAAGTTCTATAAAATGCATGGAAAAGGCAGGCTAAGATGTAGAATAGCTAAGTAATCGCAGTAGTATGTTTACTTTTTCCCATTTCTAAGAATAGTCTCCAAAAAATCTGTATAAAAGTAGACACACTAATTTAAATAATTTCAGTGTCCTAAAATAATTCTTTGTGATTATTGAATTCTGGAGTCTTTCTTTCAAAATTTTCAAAATCAGGTTTTGAATAGGAAAATAAATGTATATAGACTCTGGAAAATCTAGAATTTATATTTAAGATCTAATTTTAGATTTCCACCACTGGAAAGAAACTCTGAACATTGGCTTTTCTCTTGATAAGGAAGTAAACCAGCAAGAAACTGGGATTGGGGGAAAGAGGCAGGAGGAGGAATGGCACTGGAAGGCAAAGAAACAGCAAAAACTTTTGTAGTAACTTTCTTGTTTCGTTATTTATCACCATAGTGGGTGTGTATGCTTTTATTAAACTATCAGGTCCAAAACCTCAGCAATGGCAAGGGCCAGACCGGACACTTGGAACATTGTGTATTTGGATAAGGGAAGACAAGGTGAGGATGAGGGGAATTGCACTTGTCTCTGAGCAAAATACAAGTGGGTGTGTGTGTTCATCATACCATCTCTAAGAGAGTTCTGTCTTTAACCAACCCACTTTTTATTTCTCCTGTAGCGTGTTAAATGAGTGAAGTTCTTGGCCATGCTTATGGTGGAACAATCTTTCACTTAGCCTGGAACCAGCCTGGGAAGCACTCTGTTGTTAAGTCACTATTCAATCAAAAGCCAGAGCAGAAAACAGGCTTCATTTGCTTCCCTAGTTTGTGGTATTGAGTGGGTACACTGTAGCACAGATTGATGTTTGGGATTTTGCAAGCATTAAAACAATCATGGCATGCTAGAATGCACAGTCGTCACAAGAAGAACAATGACTTAAAATGGTGCAAGTAAGATTAGGTCATCATCTACCATAGAGGCAAGTTTTCCAACTAACTAGCAATGGCAAAGAACATTTCGCTTTGCTTTGTATGACACTTAAGATCACAAAAATCTGCTGGCAGCAGATGGGGGCTGGCTCACTCAAAGAGGGAGAAGGGGTTTCGCCCAAAAATTAGCACAGCTCATTAACAGGGCTTTAAACTAGATTCGACAGGGGGAGGGGGTATTATCGGGTTTGCCCCTGACCAGCCAAGGGATGTTGTACTAAGGAAAGAGGAATGGGGTGCTGGTGAGGGCCTGCAGCTATTAGCTCCAAAATGTGCTGGCTATGCTGCAGCATGCTCAAAGTCTTACACAGATGAGCCAGGAGCTCCTGGACAAACAGGAG